AGATGAACGTTGCCAGCTCGGATCTCACCTGTCTCCTGTCTGATGTATTTCCGCTCTGCGGATCCCCTTCTCTTGGCTTATCAAACCAATCTGTGTCCTCTCTTCTAAGGTGGTAGGCTAGACGGCAGAGGTAGAGTTTTAGGCAAGGCACGGCATTTTTTGTATAGCGCTTTTCATACACAAGGCAGACTCAAAGTGCTTCACATCATAAAGTTAACACGCTCGATATATCCTGATAAATTTCCGATAAAAACACATAATGGCTACTTGGACAGAGATCCAGCTTGCAATCAAGCTTTTGGAAACAGTTACTATCCATCACAAAGTCTATCACACATCCCAGCTGGCTCTTTTCTGAATGGACTGGTGAAAGCAAAAGCATAAACCTGGTCCACCGTATCAATGCTGACTGGGAGATCAGATGGCCACTGCAAACACTGAATGAAGGATAAATACATTTCAGAGCATTTTAAGTTGTGCATGCTTTTGTAACATGCAGTGTTCCCGTCTCACTGGTAGGGGCTCTTCTTTTGCAGATTTTCATAGCTGGTGTATTGACGTTTTTGTTGAAAAGCCCCTTCAAAATTATGTATTACTTAATATTTCAGACAGAACACTGGATTGAGTCCCGTTGTGTGTTTTATTTCCAATAATAATAATACTAAAAAACTAAAATTATAAGATATAGTATACCAGTATGTTGTAGTGGGAGTAGCATAAATGATTGAAATAATTTAGTATTTTATTCTTAATATAATAATTGAATAACATTTACACAGTATCTTCAAACTCCCTCTCTATAGTACAGAATCAACAACCTATAACTGCAAAGCAATTCCACTTCCTGGCGCTGTGAATCTCCTAAACCTCATAAAATAGAGACTTTACACCTTTAAAGCATAGTACGTAATACCAGAAGACAATGAACGTCTTGTATTACATTTCGCATCATTATTGTAAGGCTCCAAAAACATCCGAAACCATGGTAGCAAGGCAGGTTGGTGGAGAATGTCTATATTAGAAAACGTGAGTCATCACTTGATGTTCGATGCATAGATTGTCACTAAAGATAGAATGTGCACAGGTCTGCAGGTGTCTCTTTGTATTGTCAGTGATATAATTCCACAAGGAGATGCACCAATAGTGCTGAAAAGGGAATGGGCAGAAGACTTTAGCAAAATGTTGCCCGTTGGCTAAATGCATTTGATTATATTGAATTATATGGCAACATCAAACTTCAGAATTCTATTAACAATTTGGATAACAATGTCGTAAGATATATGCTCTGCAAATCACTTTAAATATGTTTTGTTGTAACACTTAAAGTATCATCACACCATTCACATGAGATTTCATTGCGAATTGCATGAACATGATACTGGAAATGGGCTTGTGGAAGCACTGTAATGCAGTCATTCCAAAACTATTCACAAGGGAGGTCACGTTAGTATATACTTAAGATTTAAAATAATAAATCTAGTACCATTGAGATAGGATTCATCCTAGATTTGATCTGACATGCTGGCTACTACAGATCTGTTATATGCCGTGTATTGTATTGTAAGCACTGAGATGGGGGTCATTCCAGAATAAGTCTGGATTTGTTTCCAAAAATAACCAGACAAGTGAATCATTCAGAACGATGATATGCAGCATGGAGGCATACAGTCTAGGTTACTACATGGAATTGTGATGCTCTCTCACCTTCTATATTCCAGTTTGGGCCTCCAGCTGGGGAAAAAATTATATGTTTTTTCAGAAATGGGTTCAACACATGTTCAGTCATCTTAAAAAACTATAGTAACTGTGCTACCACTAGATTTGTATAGTGATTTGTACTTCAGCACATGCACTGAAATCACTAGTCAATGTTAGATGCATGCTTGAATGTATTCAGATTGTAAGTCTGACAATACTTCCGTCAGAAAATATAATTTGAGAGTAATTTAAGCAGTAGCGTTACAAAACAAAATCAGTTAAGGTATGAGTTAGCCTAAGCAATACTAATTAAGTCAAGTTTTTTAACTAGTACTGTAAGATACTCTACCGTGTCTGATACTTTCATGAAAGATTCTGGCATCATCTCTGTTCAAAGTCAGCGTGGATTCACTTAGTGCTCTAACAAACACTTTTACCTGGGTTCAGGACAAATATCACCTCTTTAGCAAAAATGTAACCATATTGATCCTCAGCAAATGGTCCATAAATATAACTAAAGTTACCAAACATTTTGTATTTGTTGTTGTTATGCATATTGATGATGTCAATGTGATTGACAACAAACCTTTTTGAACTTAGTCCTAACAAGGCAACCGCTTTATAAAAGTCATTGGTCTTATATTAGATTGTGAAAAAACACAATGTAGAACTATTTCCAGTTGAATGCATAACAGATCGTATCCAATTCAATCTTAGGTTATAAATTTTAAGAATAACCCCTCAAAATCTACAGAAAGGAATTTTTCTAACCTAACGTAACACTGCCAATCCCACTCTTACGGACGGAGACGGAGATAGTACATGTCAATATTTGCTATCAATCACTTTGTGACATGGACATCTCCCATTACAATGAGACACCCACAGCAAAAACCAACAAACACAAAAGATTTACTTTATTGAAATGGAAATGGTAAAACATAAATATTGCACAACATGCAAGGATGCAAAATCAGACAGAAGTGTAAAGAAACATTAATATATAGACATGCACTTACATAGGAGACAAATAAGACACAATAATATGGTTGTTAATGTTGTTTCTAAAAGTACAGATAACTGCTCGGTAGTCCTTGAGAAAACCTAATTGCATTGCGTTATATGGGTGAAAATGTCTCCTTGAAATTTAGATTATTCTCTAATTGGTAGGTCTGTTTTACTGACTTGCTAGGAGTTAAAGAAAAGTCATTTAATTTGCCTCAACTGCTCCCTGAGCACATCTAGACACAAGGATTCGGCAGTATTAATTCAAACTTACTGCTGCTAGTTGTATTCCAAAATAGCTAAAAGGATGTGTAGGACAAATAAATAAACATTTTTCTGAAGGGAGGATCTTAATATATAGCTTTGAAGATTGGTGGGGCGAGGGTTTAAAAAAAGACATAGAGGACAACTAGACACTACTTGTCATACCTTCATGTAAAAGTCCTTTATATCAAATGCTCTAAATGTTGTTAATAAATATTTTTAAAACATGTATATTTTATTTGTATTATCAGCAAAGAATATTTACATATAGACTATAGAAGTCATAATAAGTTACTGCAATTAGTGCATATTTACGAGGTAGAGAGGATATGACTATGAGACATTTGATTATTTAAATGTAATATGTTCTTTAAAAAATACTTACACTTCACATTTTTCAGAAAATTTTCCCTTCATTTTTTTACGTAACTTGTATTAATAGCGCTTTGTGTTACCTCATTTTTGAAGATAAAAAAATATTCTAGCCCTTCAGCAAGTTTTAAATAACGATTCATGTCTGCAATAATATACTGTAGCCCATTCTTAACATATGCATCACTGCGTTATAACTGAATAGGTCCAGGGAAGATCATACGTTATGGATTTTCACTACGAATAAGGCAGCTGTAATGGAGACAATGTGTATGAATGATGTCAAAAGCATCAATTCTGCATCAACACTTGTGCTACCACTCAGTTTTAGGAGCAAATATAATAAATATGAAGAGGTAAAGCCACTGTATAATAAAAAACAAAGCATGCTGAAAAATCCCATGACAAACATGGCTTGAACTGATACGTGATATACATAATCTCAGGCCAAGAGTATTATGTATCGGTGGTAAGACATAAAACATAAAGGAAACAGCAGGCAAATATCTAATGGGACGTATACCAAGAGTAAGGGAAATAGAGACAACAACAACAACTATCTAGAGCACTGATGATAAAGAAAGACCATTAATGCACAAAATCACTATGAACACTTTGCATGCATGACAAGCAGGTCCACACAGTCATGTTGCTGCAACAGTCTCAGGCTCCATTTACCTTCTCTGTCGGACATGGCGCCTTGCAAGTCATCCATGATGAACGCAATGTCTCGATCATAGCCTCGTATCCGAGATTCCTCCCTCATGTGTTGCTGTACCTCTGGCAGGGAATGGCTGGACCCAAATTGGTCCCTGGAATCCGCAGAGATTGGAGGAAGAGGTCCAGCCGAGGCTCTGGCCATACCCATAGGCTGCCCCACCGGGCTCAGGGGGCTTTCCTCCTCAGAGTTCTGAGCCACTATGGGGATGCGTCCCCTACTTTGACTTATAGGGAGACTAGTAGGCTTCGCTCTGGCCACCCCTGGAGCAAATGCTGCATCTAGGACCTCTCCTTCGGTTTTTAATCTAAGCGAGGAGCTGGATAGGTCCCGTTTGATAGAAAGATCCAACCCATAGACAGAAGAGGGGCGGGAAGAGGGGCGGGAAGAAGGGCGCGATGAGGGTCGGGAACGGGTTCCACTTGGGTAGGTACCATCATCCTGGCAGTGGCCCTGATAGCTGGTCCAAGTCCGAGGGATTGCCCAAAATTAAGAGAACCAGCTAAATTGGTGCCTAGGGAAGAGCCTAAATATTTCTGCTGCTCAGATAAGTTTTTTCTTAATCCAAATGTAATCTCATCCTGAAGCAACCTAGCTGTAGCAGCCAGATTGGTCACAGAGGAGACCCCAGATCCCATACAATTGTAAAGTTAGCCTCCAAATCCCTACTCTCTTGAATCAGGGAACATTTTGTGATGGCTTTCGGATCTATAGTAGCCTTTTTGTTCTTCATCTGTTTCTGGTAAAGCACAGCTGCTGGGAGTTGCTTTGCAGCCTGCTTTTCAAGGGTTAACCTGCCAATACTATATTTCTCTCCTTTAGGGAAGTAACGAAAACTGCTATCACTGGGGAGATGATGGGGAAGTCCTAGCGCAGTTAGGTTCTCTAGTCCCTCAGTTCCTCGCCTGAACTCCTGCTTCATCTGCTGCTTTAGTAGCTTCAACTCATAAGGCTCCTCCATTGTCCTCATCTTCTGCTTTGCCATAACTATGAAGTCGAGATGAGCCTAAAAAATCTGCCACCTAAAAGGGAAAAATAACATAACAAAAATATAATAATAACATTGAATGTTTTCTTAAGAGTAATGGGAATTAATTTGACAGTTACAAATATGTTTTATGTCTGTTGCATATACCTCGAGAATGCTTGATCAGTTACATGTTTACATATCTGGCCAGACTGAACCATTGGGTCTACATTTGTTTGTGAAAAGAGCGGAATTTTTAAGAACAGAACTTTTCATATACTTCTGTTAGTATCAGTCCAAAATCTAACACTTTGTTTTGCTGCCAGCTGTCTGCATTCAATTGTAAAAAATAGGGAAAAAAAGCAGTAAAGCAATGCTAATACATTCTCAAAATAATTTATATGAAGTCAATGCAACTGTAAAATTAACAGATAGATGGATGGATGGATACTTTATTGAAAACACAGCACGTGGATAAGTAAGGTAAAATGTGTATGGTCACAATAAAGGATTTACCTCTGCTGTGCACCTGACTTCTGCTGCCCTGAGGAGTCTGTCTGCCTTGGACAACTCTTTATCAGGAATGTTGAATCCAGAACCCATGCCTGTGTTGCTCTGCCCCGTTGAGGCCTTGGTGAGCTCCCCTATGTCCTCTATCAGCACGTAGTTCCTGGAATTGCGGTTGTCGATATCGGCATAAAAAGAATCAGCAGAAATGCTTGACATGGGACTAGAGGCCATGCTCCTTTCCCCTAGCCCCAGCCTCAAGTCCAAGCTGCCATACTTATCCCCAAGGTATGCAACTCCATAAACACTTTCTGTGGAGGTTGGCACAATGAGCAGATGCTGGTTGTGTATCACTTCATAGTTGGTGGTGATCTTAGGCTCTAATTCGGACATGGTGGATCGTCGTTGTTTTCCCTTCTGCAAGAGCAGCGCATGTTGGTAGCTGCTAGACTGACCTTGGTAATGGGGGAGGGATAGGTTTGTGTAAGGAGACGCCTGTTGGTGGTAAAGGGACTGCTGCTGCTGATATAGGTTCTGTTGAGTGTAGTGGCTGGTGGTTTGGGTCTGGGGAACGTACTGGGCATAGTGAGAGTAGGGACTAGTTAGTGTGTTGTACTGGGAATCAGCTTCAGTCTGGGGGGGGATGAATTGGTCAAACTCCGACTGGGGAGCTGTCCGTGGTCTCTCCAGGCCGTCAGCCTGGACTCTCTGATGTTGCTAACTTCACTGTCTGACATGTAGTCTCTTTCCTCCGCCACCCCCTGGAGATAGGCCCTCTCTCTCTTCTCTCTCTCCTTCAGCAAGGCCTCCTTACGCCGGTTGATACCCATCTCAAGGTAGCTACAGTGATAACAACAGATTATACAAATAGTTTTACTATTCATGCACTGATAAATCCATAAGCATACAACTAAAGAGGCAAAAAAAATCTGGGGTCTCACACAATAGTACCTTTGTATGAGTATGACATGTGTGAGTGTTGAGAGGTCTTACTGAGTGATGTCAAGGCAGCCTTTTAGCCCATAAGCCCATAAGGTAAAAGGGGAATCATGTAAATGAATTAGTAATAATAATTGCAGGAGGGGGGGGGGGGGTGCAATGATAAAAGTTGTAATTAATTCATGACATATTTATTGGTTACTATTATTTGTTAATGAAATAATGTCATATGGTCTGAAAAAAGGTGAGAACCAAAATCTTGAATTGTTTTGATCTTTGCAGCATCTTACCGTAGCTTGGCGTCAATCTCCTTCTCTTCTTCATCTAGTTCAGCTTGTTTTCTGCGAAGTTTATAAGATTCTCTTTCCACCAGATCAAGCTCCTTGTCAATGTCCTGCAGGATCTTTGCCCGAGCCATTGTTGTACTGCGGGCAAGACGGCGACGTGCAGAGTTGCTGTTGTAGCCTGCATGTCCTGCCATAGAGTCATCCTCAGGAGGGGGATCTGGAAGCGTCCGTTTGACCTTCCTACCTGTCCCAGATGGAGAGCTTCGGCTCTGGAAAATAAAACAAATGATAAATCATTGAATAACGATCAAAAAACTATACATAAAATACTATATTGAATATAATTCACTTCATATTTCTCTATTATATTTGTATTAAAAAACACTTTAATCACAAGCACATTAATTTTCATTATCAATAATAACAAAACAAATATTTGTATCCATTTATATTCTGCTATGACTCACAGAATAGCTGTCTGCGTAGTATCCACCCATCCTGTCATCTGTGGTGGGACTAAGGGATTTGGGATCAGACACAGACTTCTGACTAGACTTTAACATACGAGGACCAGAGGAAAATCTGGTTGGGTCAGCAGTCAACATTCTCTGCCCTCCAAGGGACTTTTCCGGGGACACAGGGGAAATTGAGGTATAGAAGACTTTTGACTTGAGTGGGACATCTGCTCTTAGGTGTGTGCTGTACCCCACCTCAATAGGTGTGACACTTCTATCTGATTCTGTCTGACAGCTAAGACTGCCACCTCTCTGAGAGTTCTCTGGAGCTGAGATATGCTTGATAATTTCCACCTTAGTGTCCATGTGGACACCAGGTGGTTTGATAGCTCCAGAGTGGTCAGTCTGGACAGATATTTCTGCCACTGTTTGGATAGCTATACTAGAGACCTTGGAGCCGTGTCTCCCATCGCCGCTATGTTTTCGAGATCGTCGTCGAGCTTTTGTGGGAGCATCCCATTCATCTTGGTCCTCATCATCAGTCTGAGCGCAGCACTCAACATTTCTCTTATTTTTCTTTCTCCTTCCAACATGTTGCTTCTCTGCTGAGTCTTCATCATCTGTCTGCACTCCACTATCGATAATTTTTTTTCCTGCTTCCTGTTCAGCTTGAATGACCTTTACAATATTAAACTGATCCTGACTTTCTTCTAAATGTGTACCAATAGAGACAGTAGACTCATCTTTGACAGGCCAGTACTGGCCACTGTCCCCCACCCCTGCATATTTGGCATGTAAGAAGTTTCCTGTGTGACCAGTGCTACCATAGTGCTCATCAAGCTGGCGTTGGAGTTGCAGTTGGAGTTGTTGGATTTGCTGCAACTGCTCTTCTTGCTGAGCATAGGTCTCCTGCTGGGCTACCATGTGGGCATGGTGCTCTTCTTCTTGCTGCATAAGAAGCTGCTGTTTCAGTGCTTGAAGCTCCTCAAGCTCCCTCTGGACCATTAGCTGCTCCTTTTCACGGTAACGCTGGATCTCTTGCCTCTCCCACTCCAGTTCCTCAGCAAGACAAAGCTGCTTAAGCTTCTCCAGCTCTAGAAACTCCCTTTCCATCTGATACTGAGCCATCTTGGTGTTGTCTAACCCTGGGAATATTGGGGAAGAGGCTAAGGCATCCAGAGAGGCAGCAATTGCTTCCAGGGTGGCGTCTGAGTACATGTCCGGATAGCCTGTAATGATGTCAGCCAAAGCTGTGGGTAGAAGATCTTTAGGTATTTCTGTGTCAAAAGTTATTATCTGTCCAGGGTCTGTACTGTGAATAAAGCCATATGGATAAGGCGATGACTGGTTCTGGACTGTTGTTGTAGGTGGTAAGGCGGTGCTAAAGATAGAGCCCGGTTGAGTTGTAATTGTATTTGTGGATGGAACTGGAGCAGCAATCGTCCCAGGGTAGAATCCAGTAGATTTGCTAGTGTAGTCTAGAGCTTTACCTGCCATAATAAGTCCAAAGATATATATTTAACTTCATCAAATATATCATTTTTGAATGAACATGAAGGTTCATGCAATTTGGATTTAAAAAGACTGTAATTTCACATGCATATCGGTTGTCAGTTTGGCTAGCAAGACGCAAAACCAAAATATTGAGGGAGCACACGGAGGCACACGCATGCATCTGTATGAAGACAAAAGAAATAAAAAGCAGGTTTTAATATGTATTTAAAAAAGCAAGTTAAACAGTAATGGAAAGCATGACTTAATCAACATAAAGGGAACAAAACTACACATGCCTTATCAAAGGGAATGGACTGTAATTATATAGGTTAAAGACTAAAGGCACATGGTAAAGAAAAGTCCTGTCTATTAAAACAACTAAATGCAAGCACAGAGTATAAAAATAAAAATGAAGTAATAAAAAATACAGAAATACCCCTGTACTCACCAGAAGAAAGTTTGGCAGCAGTGAGGTCCATAGCGCCATCTGAAGATCTACTGAGATGGTCATAGTCATTCCTGGGATCATAGGAAAACAGTCCTGCCTCTGTCAGGTTGGTCTCAGACATTGAGGCTTGTATATCATTCATAACTTGGAAACCATACAGTCCAGCATTATCATATTGATAGTGGTCATCACTATAGCCAAAACGATTGTCAGGTTGACTTGTAACAGGTGGCTGTGTTCTGCAGCTTCCTGTGAAGGGTAGCTTATAAATAACATCACAGCAAACAATCCTGCTACCAGCTGTAAGGTCAACTGGAGTCCCATCATCTTCTACAACAGTCGTCACCACTCCAGGGCTTGTGTTAGACAAAGCTACCATAGCTCTCACTGGTCTGTAGTTTGACAGATCCATAGCCCCAGTGGCCTCCAGAGAAAGCACAGCATCTTCGTTTCTGATAGATAGTGGGGAAGTCATTGGCTCTTCGCCACCTGAGGAGACCAAGGCTCCAAAGGAAAGATTAATGGGCAGGTCTTGAGCTGCGGATGCTAGAGCACTGGCTAAAGGCTGGGTATTCACAGGTCTGTAGACGATCTGAGCAAGCGGTTCGAATGGTTTGTTTGTGGTGAGAGGCAGTGGCAATGACGAAACATGACCTTGCAAATCGAGTGGTTTCTCAGCTGGAGTACTGTTATATGAGGCAATGGTGGCTGTGCAGGCGACTATTGTTATGCTGTCTGTGACCACAGACAGCGTGGTTGCAGGGGTTATCTCTGCACTAAGATTTACTATCTCAGGCTGCACTGCTGTGATTTGGCAACCACTACAGTCACTTGAAAATGACTGTCGACATGACTCAGGTGGCGTTAGGTCCATGCCTTGTTCAGTCATCTTTATGTCAACCTTCATGGTTCGTAAATCAACAACATCACCCGGGTAAATTCTCTTTGCATTGTGTTTTGTCAGAGCTTGGACTTTAGCTACGTATGGTTGGATGGCGATTGCTACACTGTGTTGAGGGATTTGTGGAAGTCTTTCATGAACAACGGATACAGTGGTCCTTTGGACTTCAGTAGTGACCACCTGAGTTACAAGGCTTGGCAGGCTTTCAGGAGGCTGGCCTGAAGTAGAAATTGAAGAAGAATACATGTAACTCATACTTGAGACCACCTGTTCTGGTCCTCGAATCTCTTGACTCTCAATAGACTCCTGCTGAATTTTAGTGATAGTGACTGGAGCCACAGATGCAGCCTGTGGAATGGCCTGTGCAGTGGGTATTGGGGTTCTCCTGGTATATGCTTCAGCGGATATTACCTCCAGAGGATATTCATATTCTGATGAATAGGTTGATACTTGTGGTATTGGTTCTGTTGAATAAATGGATCCTCTCCTGTAGGGGCTTTGAACCGCATAACCATCAATAGGAATATCTTTTTCAGCTGGCATATTTACTACATGTGGCAATGGTAAAGATGGCAGGATGGTTATTGATTCTCTCCTGGTGGCAGCAAAAGCCTCAATTGTCCCCTGGTTGGGCATTTCATATGGATGAGTATACATTTCAATTATGGTGTATGTTGGCTGAACTATGCCTGACATAGATTCCCTCCTTCCCCTTGTATTTTCCCTAGTTGAAATGACTCCATATGGCATCCCCGCAGCTGCCTGGGGCTGCCACACTGATGATGACATTGAAGCTCTTAAATCACTGTCCTTTGGTATGATCTCTGTGATTGTCTCATATTCAGGTTCCAATGATATAACCTCCGGAGGTGGCGTTGAAGGTGACATGACCGTTGATGTAATTGCTCGATATACTTGTTGAATAGGTACATCTGGCTGTACGTCCATTGGTTGGAAGTGCATTGCTAGAGGTGATGGTGTCAAATTCACACTTGTAGGAGTTATCACATTTGCTACGGTAGTTAGTGGCATTAGCTCAGCTACCTGTAATGTTGGAGTCATTTCAACAATGAAAGATTGAGGTTGAGGAACTGGACATACTGCTGCTAATCCAGGTGTTCTAACGGCATTCTCGGATATAATAATCTCTTTAGGTACTTCGCTTGTAGGAAAGGACAACACTTCATCAATGAGCAGTGGGTGCTGGGAAGATAGAACTTCTAAAGGACAAAATGTTGGTGGTGCTAATGGGATTTCTGCAATGGTGGGAGTCTGGCTGAAAACTGTAGGTACTTGTTGCTCTGTAGAGTGGATCAATTCAACTAATGCAAATTGCTGTTGAAGAGGAATTAGCTGACTCACTACTGGTGTTTGTGATTTAACCACAACTGTCTCAGTTACCATGCCATGAGTAGGCAAATACTGTTCCTGGTTTGGCATTTTTATTTGAGCTGCAACTTGTGGATTGAGAACAGTTGTGGAAATTGCAGCTGGTCTATCTTGGGGGAGTGGTGCAACTAAAGTTACCTCAGTCTGCAGTGGTAAAGCAACAGCTTCTGTCAAAGGCTGTCGCTGCGAAGGTACAATTGTTATTGGTGCATGAGGAGCAAAAAGTGGTAAACACTGGGATTGTGTTGCGGATTGGACGGTTTGTGGTTGAATAACAACCTTTGGCTCTGGGTGCGTTGTGAGGACCTCATACATAGTTTGAGGTGGTGGCAGTTCCGGAGTAATTAATTGCTGCTGTTGCACACATGGTTTCTTAATTGGAAGAGGTACAATATGTGCCTGAATAGATGTATTCTGACCTAATGGCTCCACCATGACATCAGCAATAAATGGTGATTGTACCGCAGAAGGCAGATAGTCTCCCCTGGCTGACACTTTATTATCCAGAACATTATAGGAAGTTACATGTTCGACTGCCTGAGTTGGATCTATGGATATTAGAGGTGGGTGCCTTACAGTGGGAACGGAGGCCCTCCTAACTGTAGCCTGTGCTGAGAATGCCTCAGTGAATGTTTTTTGCTCTGAAGGTGTGGTCCTTACCCCTGAGACTTTTGTAGATGGGATGGAGCCTCGTCTTACAGGTGCCTGGACTGTTATAACCTCTGTCGGTGAGCCAGGCTCAGATGGAAGGGTTATCACTACATAGGTTTGCAAACATTTAGAATGTCTGGGAGACATAGGTGACTTAGGAGATGTTGCACTGAACTTAGACTCCACTGGCCGAGTAAGGCTGAGGGACAGAGCATTTGGAGGTTCTTTGATCCTAGGTAGTGTAGCAGCTTTAGGAGCCACGTGAGGTGGAGGTGGTTTGACACTCTCTCCTGGCTTATGGCTGAAAACCAGTCCAGCTGGAATTGATATAGGCTTAGGTGGTATGGGTGGAGGAGGCTTTGCAGTTTGATTAGGGCTATCTGTGGTATAAGAAGCTTTTGCTGCTGTGGCAATCGTCACTGACGAGGGAACCAGTGTTGGATACACGATTGGTTTGGTTAAATTGGTAGGAAAAGATGGAGATGTATCTGCTACAAGTATTTCAACTGGATCGACGATGACTGCTGTAGGTTTCGACATAAGGGGTGAAGCTGAAGCTGCTGACAACTTAGTGGATAATGAATCTGTATTGGTGCTGGGTATATCTGAAGGCATTTGACTACGTTGTGGTAGAGTAGTAGTAGTAGCAGAAACAGATCCTTTGCCAGCCATATCTTGTGGGGTTTGTTCAAGGAGAGATTTGTTTTCCACACTTGGCACTATGATGACTACATGCCCTTGTCTGGTTGGGGTAACTACCTGAGGTACAGCCCCACTATCTGGTTGTATGTCTTCCATTCTTGGCTGTATATCCACAAATACAGATTGCATTGGCTTACCAGTCACTGTGGCTCTGTTAGCTATGGTGGTGGTCATAGTGGGGGTGACATACTGAACAGTCCTTACAAGTGGAAATTCTGCACTACTCTTAGGTAATGACACTGAAGTAGACCGAGGTGGTGGAGGAGGAGGGACCTTTTTTTTGGTTATAATAGTTGATGCTGAAGACGGTACTGGACCCTGGGCTGGTTGTACTGGAGCTGGGCTCACTGGTGAGATGGCTGTCCGGAAAGGGTGTACCACTTTGGCTTGGCCTTGAGTTGGACTGGTTACGAGTGCTGAGACCGGTAATGGGGTTTGTGCAAAGATTGAAGATGTAGTTGAAACTAGGTCAGGCACCATCTGGTCTTTGACTGTCCAAGGGCATGATGCCTGAGTGACAGAATCAATATCAACTAGGGCTAAAGATTCATTGTTGACTGTAACAGGTACAGGTGTAAATAAGACTGGGGGTACAGCTGAGACAACAACAGGTGCTGGTCTTTGTGCTGAGACCTGTACAACAGCTGGAGCCACAATAGGCACCTGAGATGGAGATGAAACTAGGTCCGGCTTCTGAACCACTACAGTGACAGGACTACACATCCCCAATAGGGCTGGAGTTGAAGCTTCAGCTGTAGATGCCTTACCTTGACCTACTGCAGCTGTTTGAGCTTTGGATGGACCAGACACCACATATGGCATTGTAGCTATAACTTTGGTAAGAGTGGTGTAAGAAACGGAGGCCCCAGTAGACGGTACTTTTGCAATTGTGCTAGGGGATGATGGTGAGATATCTTGAGGTGATTGGATTACAAATAAAGTTGGATGTGTTGGTGTAGACAGCGGAGTTGAATCCGATGAAAGCGGTGTTTGAGCCTGGAGTGAGGATGAGGATGTAGCATTAGAAGCCATACTGGACTCTGGAGAGGCTGGTGAAGTTGGAGGTGACAATGGTGATACAGGGGACGGTGTGGTAGTTAGTTCTAGTGCTGAAATTGGAGTTGGAATAGGTTGTGGATCTGGAATTTCACAGACCACACCGAAAGGATCCATCTCTGTGGTTTCAGACAAAGGTGGGCTTATGGAGGGATAATCTTTAGTCTCAGAGTCATCACTGGGCGTAATGTCAGAGGAAATACCAACACCATACTCGTGTGCAAGACTGTCATCCTCTTCCTCCCCAGATGAGCACCGGGTAATCTTGAGGTCCGGTATGGGGAACAATGCCTTTCCGAGTGAAGGATCTTGACGAACCATAGGCCTGGCAAAACCAATGGATCCACTAGGTGTAATAAGTACAACATTCACTTCTGAACGCTTAGGGGGTTCAGTGGGTCGCGGTGGAGCAGGTCTTTTCTTTCTCTTCACTGGCACTTCACTAGAGGTTTCAGTGCCTGGAAGAAGCATGTCAAATTGTGCAGTAGGTGATGTCTCTTCTGTGGCTATGGTCACCACACAGGTCTCTGCAATCAAAGGAGGCCCAGTGACGGAAGCCCCCGATGAGGATGATGCAATGGCAATTGTAGCCTGTTGGAACTCTTGCTCTATCATCATCAGTTCTCTCTTTTTCTGCATCATCTTCTCATAGACCTCCTCTGGAGACCTAAGATGTTTGAGACACTCAGAGCTTGTATCCTCTGGAGATTCCCCCATCTTCATTTCAGGCTCCTCCACTAAGGATCCATAAAGATAGTCCTCTATGGACATCCCTCCATAAAGTGGCTCAATATCAGGAGGACTCTCCCCAGGAATAGCTTTTGTCTTTTGACTGATTTCCTCATATGTTTCTTCAGCACTCTTCAGTGGTGATGTCACAATATGCTTCTCGTTAAATGGATCAGAGAGATTGTATGGAATCACTGTTGGTGATGGCTTATCCCCTCTCTGTACTGCTCGCCAAACCTCTGGCTCGGATTCTATACTAGCAGAGTACTCAGAACCAGATCTACTGGTTTCGTCCATTGTTGTGATCTGCTTCAGATTCTCTGTTGAGGAAGTATCTTTGGTGGGAAACAGGGAAGTCCCATGGGATTTAAGTTCTTCTTTTTCTTTTCTAGGCTTCTCACCCCCCCTCATTTTCTCTTCCTCAGAGGAGTTTTCAATGGTTGGGAGAGGCTGAGTTGGCTGCCTGTGTCTTCCTTTGCGAAGCTGCTTTTCCCCACGGATTTTCCTGTGTCTGGGGCTGCTGTCACTGTCCTCCTCCAGAGATGAGGCAGAAGTGGGTGAAGATCCCGGGGTAAAACTAGATACCTGAACACTGGACGATCCCTTTGACAGGGATTCTGTGATGCTCTCCACCTCTTCATCAGTGCTTTGTCTGTGTCTGATGACTGGAAGAGCTTTCTTGAATCTAGAGCAGGGAATGGTTTCAGAAATATCTTGAGGTATTTCAGCGAATACTTTTGGAAGGGTTGTTCTCCTAACTGGGCTTTCTTCATTCTCGGTACTACTCTTTCTAGAAAGTGGTTTGGCCGTCACTGAACTTTTATCAAGTTCAAAAATGTTGATAGGTTCGTCATCAACTAAATCCTTTTCTCTCTCATCTTCTGAAGGATAATATCTTCATCTTCATCACCCATGCCCATTATCTGCTTGCGGATGAATTCTTCATCCTCCATAGAGGAGTCAGCGCTTTCAGATTTAATGTCTTCACTGCTGGATGAAACATTCCTGACCTTCAGTTTTCTCTTCTGGACTTTAGGTGAAGGTGTAAACTCACTTTCACTGCTCTCAGCCATTGCTTGGAAACTTAAGCGTCTTCTCTCAGCTCCCTCCTTTACTGGAATGGATGTATTTGTAGATACTGGAATATCCTTTTGACTTGCAACAACCTTCCCATCTTTAAAATCTTGTGCCCTGGGTAAAATTTGTGGTTGATCTTCATCAGGCTCCTCTGTTTTGGATTCAGGCTTTGTTGCTGTTGTAGTCACAACTTTGTTTTCAGTAGGTGTGGTGACCTTTACTTCTTTCACTGGTTCTTTGTTTATTTCATCTTGACCCTGAGGATGCAAAAAACATCAAGAAAACCTCAAATCCATTTCCTCCTTGAAAGAATCTCTTGTTTCTACTCAAAATTGTATGAAAAACAATTGATATGTATGTTGATATGTTGTTATTGAAGTCAATAAAATAATAAAGTTTTAAAAAAGAGGACAAAAACTTACTTGTATTATGATGTTATTTGCCGATACTTGTGTCTCTGGAAATAAGGTGATGTCGTTGATCTTTTCAATTAATTCTTCAGCCATTTCCTTGCCGGCTGTTTGTTTTTCCAATACCAGCTGTGGTTCGTGTAACTTTGGTTGCACCTCAGCTTGTGGTAAAGATGTTGTTGGCTCTGTCAGTTCAATATGATCATCAGTGAGTAACTCCTTAATCTTATGTGGAGCAGACGATTCTGGCTTTATTTTATTTCCTGGGACAACCTCTGCAGCAAAATGGAAAGTAGGTACAGCTGTAGCTTCAGTTGCAGGTAGGGGGGAAGCTGAAGCAACATCTGCTTCCAACTTGTCTTTTGAAAAGTCAACTTTAGACTCTTCAGCATTGGGATATTGTGGTTCTATGAATTTCACTTTCACTGACTCTTCTCTGTCTTCCACTGTTACAGTCCTGTTATGATCTGTGTTTGGTACTTCAGCCTTTGGTGTTGCTGCGTCCTCAGCGGGTGGCATGACTTCTGCTGTGAATGCTGCCAATGGCTGTTTTTCTTCTAAAACAGGTGAAACCGTTTCCTTTATGGCTATGTGTGTGGGCTGGATCTTCACATGTTCGGAAGCTGCTGTAGCCGTGGTTTCCTTTTCGACAGACATAGGTTCCATCTTTGGCTTTAGGGTTGGAGCTGTTGGCATCGACTTGATGGAGTCAGGGGTGGGCTGTGATTTTGTCACCACAGATGTCAGCTCTGCCTTTGCAGGGGAAGTTTTGGGTTCTGCCTCTGCAGTTGCAGGTGTGGACAGGGCGCTTGGCTTGGCAAATACAGGTGTAACCTGTGGTATTCTTCCTGAATCTCCCAGCTCTCCAGACAAAGCCCTCCGAGTCTGGCAGTTCAGGCACAGCCATTCCTTCTGTAACCAAAAACACAACAAGTGATCAGGAAACACACCAGATTTATATAAAAACACTTGTAATTAGTTAGTTGTTGACCACTGGTATACCACATTCAACATAGAATACATTTAGTTATATATTCAGGTGATGCGAAAAAGCATGCAAACTTCTTATGAAATCCGGTTTAAAGTAGACGTAGGTGCAGGTTAACTCATACCAAAAACATTAAATCCATCTTAATAATGGAACCACAATTCCCATTTGTGCATACTAATGGAAATGCAATCTATAAAAAGGAGGATTATCGGGCAAACACGGTTTGTCCAGACTGCAATGATGTAAATGAGTAGTCCATTTGAATAAGCGATATTATCCACCCTCTATAATACCCAGTTTTAGACCTCCTCCCAATTGTTTTGGATATAATTATAGAAAGACGAGGTTGGAGGAAATATTTAAACATCAATGTTAAAAAATATTATCACCTGAAGTAATCTGTATTTTCTGTCCTACTTAGGTTATAACATATTATAATTCAATACAGAGAGTATGGCTGGAAATATAAAGCATAATATTCTACCCTAGAACAGAGGGTAACAGCAACGTAACATGAAGGGCACGATAGCTGCTGTATGATGCCTTCACTCACTAAGGAATGTTCACAGCAAACATGATTACAGTTGTCAAGGTTTGACTTTATCTATTTAACTTGATACAAATGCATCCATATTGATTGATACTGACATGCTTTTATCCAGACAGTTGTGATTCAGTATTAGTGCCAAACAGTAACAAACAGACCAGCATAGTGCATGATGATCCTAATATTGTTAACCATTGAAACCTCAATTGCATCTGATCTGACGCGAGCTCAGCATCACTAATGTTTCTTATTAAACTTAACCCTAATCGCTACATGGGTTCACATGGTTATTAATGGTTAAGTCATTATTATTTGCAAAAATGTACAATAGTTGTTGAGTGTTGTGTAGTTCATCTACATTTTAAATAGCTTTTGAACCAAATAGCTTTGAACCAGTATACAGTTGATCAAAGATTTATCTATCTAAGAAGAGTTATCTATGCTAATGTAAGCATCTGTCAAAGACATAATATCTATACACCCCTCTCCTGTATCACTCTAGCAGCATGTAAGCACAATTTACAAGGAATGTACTCTGTTGCACACAGAGATAAATCAAGTCACTGTTCAGGTCCTTCATGATAAATACAATAAATGATTAATTTGATCATCATAATCTCATATGCAAACATTATGATGGCATATTAGCTGCTTGGCTTTAGGCCATTGATGTGATCATCATAATCTCATAGACCCACCACCATGGCCTTATGAGAAGCAGCTCATATACTGTAAACCGATGCCATATTTGCCAAGGAAATAAATGCAACTCCACCCTTTTAAAAAATGAAGAAATGATCATTCTTATTTCAAAAATGTATTATTAACCTTTTCTTTAAATGTCTTTTTACTTGTTAAGAAGTAGGGTGGTCAAAACCCATATTTGCATAACAGGTTGGCCTACTCCACACTCTACCTTTGCTCCCTTGTGACTTGAAAGAGCTACCCAGAGACAGTGATCGAAAGCCTCTCTGGTGGTGTACTGTATTCTCCCCCTCATGCAATCTAAATGTGCCTCCGCCCCTCCCGCATCTCCACGTGATCTCCACGGTATTGCACATGAGTAGATCTCAGCATAGTAACAGACAGAACAGATAGAAAGAGCAATCACAGAATAATGCATTATACACCAAATGAATGCCATTTACACACCATTACTGCACCAACCTTGCATATGATAATTTATTTAACCTTAATCTTGAACTTTAGTAATTATGTACACCAGCCTACAATAAAAAAATAAGAAAACATTTCCATAAACAAAAATACCCAATCCCATCATATTCCCCTCCAGCGGCAGTCACAGTCTCTCAGTAACACAGTCTCAAAGCCATGCATCAAAGCCACAGGGTTTGGGAAGTCGCCATCATCCTTTTGTCTAATTAAATCTGTTTTATGAGTAAAGAGCAGGAGCCCTAAGCAGAGAGCTGTGGGAGAGGCTGCTCTCTCCGATTAGCCTGAGCTGGATTACCAAACCTCCACAATGACATTAGTTGGTAAATTATGCTCTTGACACAAAGGCGGGCTGCATTAGGATTACTTTTCAGCAGTAGAAAGAAATGTCCACTTAAATGTATAGCAAGATATCAATGCAAAACCTTGGGGAAGAAGCCCATTCATTCTGGGCACAGATTACCCTCAAAATTGTATGATACCTTCACCTTTTGCACTTTCAATAAAATTGCACATTATTTTCTACATACATTTAAGTACAAATACATATATCGCTATGCATTATGATATCTGAGAGAGTAAAATGCATCTAGTTTACTATTAGCAACAATTTAAATGACCCAAATAACTATCAAACTGCTCTTAACAGGAAAGACTTGGTATCAACTGTCGTGAAATTTACTTTTTTTATTGGCGAGACTGAAGGAACGTCCTATGAACTGTGGACTACACAGTGTTTCCAAGCCTCTCTTCAGTGCTTTTCTGATGTTGATTCTGGAGCTTGTTAGTTCCTTATTGATTTTCTCGCAGATGCCATTGGCAAAAGCTGTAGCTAGCTAATATACTTGGCTTTAAAAGACCCCTGCGTAGTAGAGCTCATAAATCAAACCCCCTGATAATAGAGAACGTTGACCTACTAATCCGTAATAAGCAGAGTGCTTCATTCTGAAGACAAGGATATGCACGGTCAGCTTTCTCCAATATAACAAATGAACCTTCAGCAACCTTCATGACAGGATGCAATGCGTAAAGACTTGGGTAAAAGAGGGAATGAGAGGGTGTGGCATACATAGAAGGCTATCCCAGTAGGAGGTAAATTAGGAATGTCTTGGGTGAGGTCTTTTTCCTTCCCTCTGACAGAAAGCCACAGCATGTATTCAAATATCAAATATGAAAGAGACTAACACAACAATTTATACTGGAAAACAATAAGCTAAAAAAACTATGTTCCCACCAATGCAACATCAGGTTTGACTCAATTAGCTTGCCTCATTGCAAAGAGGTTGTGAAAAAAGCAAGGGATGCAGCAGGTAGGCAATGTTTGGTCTCTCCAGATAGTGGATATTTTTAAAACCATGACTGGGCGCAGCAGGGAGTGTCTTCACTTTACCATGGAGACAAAAGTCTTGTGGCAGTCTCTCATGGAAGCTTTACAAAACATGTGTCAGCCCTTAAATGGATCTAATAATGACTGATTACTTTAAACAACTTATAAGGTACACATTGTTTTGTAATAGGACATCTAAATACATTTTAGGTGAAAGATATAGCTTCATGTTAACATTACAGAAAATTGCTGAGAAAACATCATTCATGCTGCCTAGAATACACAAAGCTCTAGCTGGCAAAGCACGACCCACGTGTGTCCTACTTATGAGCCAACAGTCACTCGCAGGCTTTTGATGGCATCAGCTGAAGCAGAAAAGGAAAAATGGATAAACTCGCTGCGAGCACTCACTTTGGCCAAAGTGGCCTTTTCTTATTTCTCAAACCTTACACATACTGTACATTTTAGATTTTAAAAAGTGACATGTCTGTCTTTCAAGTAAAATGTATTGCTGCTCATCCTGTCCAGTGGTTTCATGGCCAAGCTATTTATTTATTCCATGGCTATTATTGTAAGAGGAATTCATTGATTTTGTATACACACTAGCAGTCGTCCATGCTTGTCCCTACCCCCGTTTAACAGCTTACCATAGGCTCTTCCTCCCTCTCTAGTGTCAGCGACAAACGTGTCAGATGTAAATTACATGAGAACATGTCCTCTGTTTCTATTTGTATTTGTTTTCTTCACAGTAATGTGACATTTTGGCTGAGCATGTGGTAATCTGTCCCCAACAAACTGTAAAATGAAAGAGAAAGAGAAAGTGAAACAAATGCTTACAGCCACTAGATCCCTCGATATTAGTTTTGTGGTTTACTGAGCGCATATAAAATCCTCAGTCTCAAATTGTAACAGTTCACAGAAAGTGGAAATAACCTATTGCCCAACATCAAATAAAATACCAAAAGCATGAATAGTTAACTACATATTTCTCAGATTTAATGTAACCAACGTTACTAGGATTTCACATTATGAATCGACACTGGGTCGTCGTGGCGCAGGGGTTAGAGAAGGTGTGCTGGGAAGCACAGGGGTGGGTGGTTCGATTCTAGGCTGCCCCATGTTCCATGTCGAAGTGTTCCTGAGCAAGACACCTAACCCCTAATTGCTCCCCGGGCAAAAATGTGAAAAAGCCATGGGTTTAAAGTGTAATGTAAGTCGCTTTGGATAAAAGCGTCTGCTAAATGACCTGTAATGTAATGTAATGAAAGTATTACCATCAAAATGCATAAAGCCTCCAGTAAAACGACTAACATAATATAGCCAGTTATTGAAATGCAGTTGCATAGTTTGCAAAGGGGAACATAGCCCTGCACTGCAGTAAACAGGTACACAATCTTGCATTCAACAATTAAACGGATGTGTGGATACGTTAAAAAGCACAGACACGCTTGGGCGACTGCCACCCACGCAAAACAAATGGAAGAATCAAATGGCGCCACAGAGTGAGCAGATGGCCTGAAAAGAAATGTCTGCAGCGCTAATGTATTGCACAGGGTTGTGTTAAAGTTAACCTGTTTCACCTCTACTTATTGGTATTTCACAGGGCTTTATCAACTCAGATCTCTTCCAGAGGCTTGCGATTTCCTCGCAGCTGTAGGAGCAGATCCCTTCTCACTAATGCTGTTGCACAACCCTCAATCACTTTTATACATTTGCAGCAATCTTAAGCAATAATAAATTATATCAAGCTGTGTCAACTTATAGGTTTTATGCTTTGACATAGTAATTTGTTATTCCAATAATAAACAATTGACCAAAGGTTGGCCTATTGTGTACCACACTTTCGATGTAAATTAAGCTGTATGATAGACAATCTACCAAGTGTCCACTACTTACACTCTTATACCACAGAGAAAAATGAAAGAAAGTAATAATAATCCATGGAATTGCCTGGATAACCCAGCCAAAACCAATGTGTCCTTGACTAGAAATAAGGAACATTAAACAGCAAGGACCATACCTAAAGAAAACATTATATTATAAGAAATGAAATGTGAAATAAAATAAATTGCACTTGCACTTACCGCCCCTGTATGTGGCATAGGGTTGAATCCACAAAGGTTGCAGACCGTGTTCTTGCATTCGGTGCATGTTGAGTAATTGGGGGCATCTGTGGTGCCATTGTTGAGGTCGACCTTACATAATGGACAGGTTGACTGAAGTGCCGTAGGAGCAACTTGGGTCGCTTGGATAGATTTTTGAGGCATTGCTGGAGCTTTCTCTACTTTGGCCTCTGCTGATGGTGCAGGCTTGGTCTGTTTAGGTGGCTCAGAGTCATTCGCAGCTGAAATATTGGAAACTGGAGTTGTAGCTTTAGGAGAGACACTGGGTGTAGTGGACATCCTAGGTGGAGTTGGTGGTGTAGCTTTAGGAGAGACACTGGATGTCGTGGACATCCTAAGTGGAGTTAGTGGTGTAGCTTTAGGAGAGACACTGGGTGTAGTGGACATCCTAGGTGGAGTTGGTGGTGTAGCTTTAGGAGAGACACTGGATGTCGTGGACATCCTAAGTGGAGTTAGTGGTGTAGCTTTAGGAAAGACACTGGATGTAGTGGACATCTTACGTGGAGTTGGTGGTTTAGCTTTAGGAGAGACAATGGATGTAGTGGACATCTTACGTGGAGTTGGTGGTGTAGTTTTAGATTCCACGGGAACAACTGTGGTTATCAATGAAGATGTAGAGCTGAAAATAGACGAGCCAAAGGCAAACATCTTCCCAGTCACGGACTCAGCAGGCTTTGCAGCAGCAGGTTGTGCTTTAGGACCACCGAAGCTAAATAAGCTTCCTAATTCCTGTTTAGCAGGTTGAACTGGTGGAGGTGCAGATTTTTCAGAAAAGGTAGCAGATTTTGAAGGCTGTTGTGGTGTTTTTACAATTTCTTCCTTTGCAAGACCTGGCCTAACTTCTGGCTTTGGAGTTTGTGAAAGCTGGACTTGAGGGGATTTTCCGATAGGTTTCTGCTGGTCACGCACAACCTCGCCCTGCCTTTGTCTTAGTTCAGTCCTGGAAAGAATCTGCGTCTCTTGTACAGAATCTCTGTGTGGTGTCTCAGCTTGTTTGACTGCAATCAGCACTGGAGCCTCAACTTTTGGGGTTACTTTTTTCTGCGTAGTTGCATGAGTGACCTCTTTTGTGACTGCTGTAGATCCTATAGACTTGTCCTGCTGGACAAATGTTGGCATTTCCTTCAGTTCAGAACCAGGAACCTTGCATGGGGAGGTCTGTGGTTTCACTGCAGGACTTCCAGTGGGCTCAGATGCGCCTAGGGCTCTCTGCATCTGACAGTTCCGACAAATCCATTCTTTCACCTGAAAAAAAGGGCATAAAAGGTATTCATCATAATTTAAAAAACAAGCAAGGGTTTTTACTAACCAAGTGAAACATTTTAAGTAATTTCGTCACTGAAAAAAGTACATAGGGTATTCAAGCCCCTTAATGTTCTGCGTTCATTCACGGATCTTTAATTCATATCACCTAAAATCATGCGTATTATACAGATGAGATCCGTTGATCCCTAAGTTATGTTGGTTGGCATTTACGATACCGAGGATAGAAATAATACACCTGCTAGATGGTGCAAACAGTGTTTGTTAAAAAAACATGGTATATCAAAGAATTATATTTTATAGTGGCAAAGACTTGTAGGAACTGACTTACCTCTGCCACAATTACCATTGTATTAAATCCACATTGATTGCAGAAATCCGTCTTGCATGCTGTGCAATTGTTGTAGTTGGGAGGATCTTTCGAGCCCACGTTGAGGTTGACCTTACAAAGCGGACAGATGGTTGGAACTGCTTTTGAGGCACCTTTGATGTCTGTTTGTACCTTGGAGGCCTCTGGTAGACCTTTGTCAACTTTGGCTTGTAGGTTTGAAGGAGTTTTGTCCTGCATTCGTTTCTCTGGTTGCTTCTCTTCAGTTTTCTTGACAGCGGTAGGCTTGATGTCCTTTGCAGGTAAAAGTTTAGGGGAGGCTACCGGTGTAGTTCTAGGTGATTCATTGGCTGTAGTAGACATCTTGCGTGGAGTTGGTGGTGTAGTCTTAGGTTCATCCTGAACAGCTGACGTAATCATGGTAGATGCAGAGCTTAGGAAAGATGAACCAAAGCCAAACATCTTCCCAGTCACAAACTCAGCAGGCTTTGCAGCAGCAGGTTGGGTTTTAGGACCACCAAAGCCCAAAAATCCTCCTGACCCCTGTTTAGCAGGATGAGCTGGTGGAGGTGCAGATTTTTCAGAGACAATTGCAGATTTTGAAGGCTGTTGTGATGTCTTTCCAACTTCTTCTTTTGCAAGACCTGGCCTAACTACTGGCTTCAGAGTTTGTGAAATCTGGGATTTTTCAACAGGTTTCTGCTGGCCAGCCACAACCTTGCTTTGTCCTTGCCCTTGTTCAGTACCTGAATGGATCTGGATATCTTGCACAGAATCTCTTTGTGGTGCATGTTGATATGGTGGAGTAGCAGAAATCACAGTTTCCGAAGGCTGTCGTAGTTGCAGCTTTTCCGCCTCTGGATCTATAGGAGAGGCAGACTTAGTGACTGAAGTGACAGTTTTTGAAGGCTGTTTTGGAGTTGGCTCTCCTGCATGTTGATCTGGTGGGACAGCAGTAATAGTCGTCATAGCTTTTGGAGGCTGTTTTAGGGATGGCTTTTCTCCCTCTTGATCTGATGGATCAAAAATCACAGTTTCTAGAGGCTGTTGTGGATGCAGTTTTTCCATCTCTGAATCTGGAGGAGGAGCAGACTGTTTGGGAGTTTGCTCTTCCACGTGTTGATCTGGCGGGGCAGTAGATTTAGCGATAGTGGTCAAGGCCTTTGAAGGCTCTTTTAGGGAAGGCATTTCTGCCTCTTGATCGGCTGTAGGAGCAGAAATCACAGTTTCTGGAGGCTGTTGTGGATGCCGTTTTTCCACTTCTGAATCTGAAGGAGGACCAGACTTAGCGATTGAAGTCACAGTTTTTGAAGGTTGTTTTGGAGTTTGCTCTTCCACATGTCGATCCGGCGGGGCAGCAGATTTAGCGATAGTGGTCATAGCCTTTGGAGACTGTTGTAGGGATCGATTTTTTGCTTCTTTATCTGGTGGAGGAGTAGATGTTACAGATTGGGTAGGTTGTTGCTGGGATGTACCAGGTTGTCCTTTATATGCGTCTTCCGAAGGCTTTTGTGAGGCTGGTAATACATTGTTGTCTGTGGTAGTGGATAGGACAGTTTTGTCAGGCAATGAAACATCTGTACTTTTTCTTTGGGGAATAACTTCCTTCAGTGGTGGACAAAGCACTGGGGATTCAGTATCCCTGGTTGTTTCCACTTTAACAAGCACACTTTTGGGTGCGGCTGGTTGATGGATGTCTTCCTGAGAAGTTGATATTGGGGTCTCTTTCTTCTGTATGGCGGCAGCCTCTTTGCTTTGCGACGATTTAGGTTTTATCATGGGAAGGCCAAGAGGTTCAGAAGCTCCAAGTGCTCTCTGCATCTGGCAGTTGAGACAAAGCCATTCCTTCCCCTGAAAAAACAAACACAGAACATGGGTAATATTTTTTGCATTTGTTATTGACAATCACTCAAAACTCAATCACTGGAAGAAAGAAGCAAGGAACATGTTACATTAAATTAATTAAAGCACATGGGAACATGTTCATTTTTAATTAAAACTTCTACAATACTTTTTTTTCTTCCAGACGAAACCAAAAATGAAACATGTGACTACTACCATTCCCAATGTATAAAGATGGATCATAACAAATGTCTAGTGACCACATATGCTGAAAGTTAAAAAAACATTTATTACCTTTTCTAAATGTGGCATAGGGCTAAATCCGCATTTGTTGCAGACAACGGTCTTGCATTCAGAGCAGGTGTTGTAGTTGGGAAGCTCTTTGGAGCCCACATTAAGTTTTGCTTTACAAAGTGGACAGCTAGACTGCTCCACTTTGGGAGCCCCTTGGGGGACTTCTGGTTTTGATGGCTCTAATGGATCTTTGTTAACTCGGGATTGTATTGATAGAGGAACCTTGGCCTCCTGACTTTGGTCTGAAATGATATCCGGATGTGGTTTCTGAGCAGGGGGCAGTTTGGCTTCTTTTTCTGAGGTCAGCCTCGGGGAACTAGACTTTGGAGAAATCTGTGATGTTGCCATCTTGCCAGCGACCTTAGCTGGGGCAGACATTTTGCGGGAACTTGGTGGTGTTGTGCGAGACTCCTCCTTATTTGCAGATGTTATCAAGGTAGATGCTGAGCTGAAGAGAGATGAGTCAAATTCCATCATCTTTCCAGTCATCGCTTCAGTTGTTTTTGATTCAGCATGCTGTGATTGAGGACCGCCAATGCTGAATAAACCTGTTTTTTGATTTGTTGCCTGGGCTGCTGGCAGAGCAGATTTGGCAAAGGACATTTCAACAGGGGTCGATTCTCCATTTGGGGCTTTTGGGGGCTGTACATCATCAGAGAATGTGACCGGTTGATCAGCTGATTTCTGGACTATTTCAGCTTTCTTCTCTGATAGTTTGATACGCGAGGGCGAACTCTGTGAAATGATATCCTTTTTCTTTGGGGAACAAGTTACAGTATCTGCACTTAGAGGAGGGAGTTGAGCAGGCAATGATTTATTGAGGTCTGATACTACAGCTGTCAGCTCTTCGATGGGTGTAAAAGAGGTTGGAACCTCCTTGGTAGGTGCTGTAGTCTTTTTCTCTGTGAGAGATGAAACAGTATCTGGGGTCTCTTTTGCAGGTAACGCGGCAGTGGTTGGCATTTTGGTGACATCCATTTGAACTGAAGGTTTATTTTCTTCTTTATTCTGTAGTTCAGTTGTTATTGGATGGTCCTTTGAAATATCATTTTTATTGGTAGTGGCCTCTTTCTGGGCAGCAAGAGGTGTTGACACTTTGTTTGGTGATGCCTGAGGTTTCATCAATGGAGGCTCTACAGATTCAGCTTCCAGCAGAGCTCTTTGCATCTGACAAGTCAGACACAACAAATTCTTCATCTACGGGGAGAACCACATAATTTTCAGTGAGAATCTTAAACATGAAATGATTTGTACAATAACATCATAGTACAGCGCACTTTACGAGATTCTATATTAGGCACACCACATACATGATGTTTTTAGAGCGCCTTTATTTATTTTGAATTTCAAATTAAACTGAAGTAAAATGTAGATATAATACAGAATAAATATGAGTAATATAAACATCTTAAGAAAATCTCACTTACTTCTGAAACATTTGGCATGGGGTTAAATCCACACTGGTTACAGACAGTATTCTTGCATTCAGTGCAGGTATTGTAGTTGGGTGGATCCTTGGACCCCATGTTGAGTTCAAGCTTACAGAGTGGACAGGTAGAATGGCTTGTTTTGTTAATGGCATTAGAGGTTGCACCATCCTTTGGAAGCTGGAATGAGGCTTTGTCCACTTTAGTCTGTGTTGTTGGTGGTGTCTTGGTCTGAGGGGATTGTTCATGCTTTGTCTGTTGTTCTTTCCTCTGGAGATAAGGGGATTTAATCCCTTTTGCTGGGGACATCTTGGGAGAAACTGGTGGAGTGATCTTAGGCTGGTCCTGAACAGCAGAACTGAAAATGGAAGAACCAAAGCCTAACATTTTCCCAGTTGCAGACCTTGTTGGCATTGCAGCAGGTTGAGTTTTTCCACCACCAAAACCGAAGAAGCCTTTTGTATCTTGCTGTGACGCTGCTGTGGCGTTACTCTGCTCACGTTCAGTTTGCCTTGTCTGGTCTGATGATTTATTAGGACTTGATATTTTCTGAGGCTCCTGCGGCAACTTCTGAGAAGGAACTGGGCTTGGCTGTTTCTGACCTTCTGGCTTGTGGTCAGCTTCCACTGTAGACGGCTGTGTTGCAACAGACAGTGTCCTCTGAGGTGATTTGTTCTTTTCAGGTTCAGCCGGGCTGATGAATTCTCTCCTCTGGGGTTTTGGAGGTATCTGGGTGTTGGCAGAAGTAACTCCTTGGAGCTGTGTGGAGCCTAGAGCACGCTGCATCTGGCAGGTCAGACACAGCCACTCCTTTACCTAGAAAACCATGGAAAAATGGTAAATTAATTATAAATGAATCTGCGTATAATTATGTTATGTAATATTTCAGCACCTGTAAATCTAGTTACAAAGTAGATGGAAGTTTTAAGCGAAGACATGCATGATTTGAGAAGAAGTACATATAGAGCAAGGGATGTTTTCAAATATTTTAAGTCTTTCAACAATAAAATTGCATGATACATATATTGATTTTCTTTCGTCTTACCGCTGTTTCATTTGGCATAGGATTAAATCCACACTGGTTACAGACAAGGTTCTTGCATTCAGTGCAGGTATTGTAGTTGGGTGATTCGTTGGAAAGTATGTTCAGATCCACCTTACAGAGTGGACAGGTAGATTGGCCTGGTTTGACAGCTACTTGTGACTCCACTGTGGCCTTTGGAGGCTCTGATGGGGCTTTGCTCAGTTTGGCCTGTCCTGTTGGGGGTGTCTTGGTCTTCTCGGATGACCCTGCTGTATTCTGCTGCTCAGGCTTGTAGGCACTGTGGGACCGGATCTTCTTAGCAGGAGACATCTCGGGAGACACTGGAGGAGTAGTAACAGCTGAGGTCATCAATGTAGATGCAGAGCTGAAGATTGAAGAGCCAAAGCCAAACATTTTCCCAGTTGCTGACTCTGCCTGCTTGCCAGGTTCGGGATGAGTTTTCCCACTAGCAAAACCAAAGAAACTTCCTGCTTGCTGCTGTGTCGCTGCTGAGGCATCACTCTGCTGAAGTTTAGTCTGCCTATTTATTACTGACTCTGCAGGCTTTTCCTGATCTGGTGGCTTTTTCAGAACGGCCTTCTGTATTTCCTGTGGTGTTTTGTGATTGCGCGCCGGGCTGGTCTGTTTCAATGGTACAGAAGCAGCTTCAGGTTTCTCTGACTGCACAGATGGTGACGGTTTTCTCTGGGGAGAGGCAGGTTCTGAAGACTCCTTCTTCAGTACAGCGGGGCCTGTACTTTCCTTCTTTTGAGGTGTGGTTGGTTTGGGAGAATCATTCAACTGGACTGCAGCTGGTGAAGTAGATGTCTGAGACTTCAAAGTGAGAGGTCCTCGGGGTTCAGATGCTCCAATTGCTCTTTTCATCTGACAGTTGAGACATAGCCACTCGTGTGCCTGAAAAAACAGTAAACCAGTTATATGCCGCTTTGGAATTGAGTATCGCAAATACAAAAACACATCACATATTATTTTACATGTTTTTAAGAAATAATGCATTGTTTATTCTCTTACCTTGCCTATGGGCATTGGGTTGAATCCACATTGGGTACAAACAGTGGTCTTGCACTCAGTGCAGGTGTTGTAGTTTGGAAGGTCCTTGGAGCTGATGTTCATCTCAACCTTACAGAGTGGACAGGTGGCCTGGCTTTCATTAAGATTCGTTCTTGAGATTGATGCTGCCTTTAGTAGCTGTAGTGGAGTTTTCTTCTCTAGTATTTCCGACTCTCCTGCGTGGGACATTTTGGGGGAAACTGGCTGTGTAGTTTTTTGAGAAACATTGGGTGCAGCAGACCTGTTGGGTGAGACTGGTGCAGACATCTTACGAGAGCTTGGCGGCGTCGTACGTGATTCGTCCAGAACAGTGGATGAAATCAAAGTTGATGCTGAGCTTAAAATGGAAGAACCAAATTCAAACATCTTCCCACTCACTGACTCTGTGGGTTTTGAGGCCTCAGGTTCTGGTGGCCTCCCAATATCTACAGGAGTTTTCTGGCCTGGAGCGGGGCTAGCCTGCGTTTCTCTTTCTGGTCCTTCGGCAGTCTTGGTTGCCTGCTTCTTCTGAGGAGAACCTGGTGTCAGACTCCCCTTCTTTTGTACATCAGCCAGTGGAGTCTCCATCTTTGAAGGTGCATTAGATTTTGATAACTCCTTCTTTGGAGGTCCCACTTGAGTGGGAGCTGTTATCTTCTGATGCATAGTCGATGGAGACATTTTATCAGCTGAATTGTTAAGTTTCAAAGGAGGACCTGCGAGTTCAGATGAGCTAAGAGCTCTCTGCATCTGACAGTTCAGGCATAACCATTCTTTTATCTGCCAAAAAAGAAATACAACATTAGAATTTGAATAAAAATATGATTTTTAACACCAGCATGCAAACATTCTACTATGTCAAGATGTGCTCTTTATAGATTCTGGTGTTCAACTAGGGGCAGCTATTTTGTTATTTTCAGCCATCATTTTTGGTTTTAATGTATATTCATATTCAATTTTTGTCATTTTTTCTGCTATTACCTCCGATTCATTTGGCCTTGGATTAAATCCGCACTGGTTACAGACATTCTTCTTGCATTCAGTGCACTTGTTGTAGTTGGTAGGTTCCTTAGAGCCAAAGTTGAGTTCAACCTTACAGAGTGGACAGGTAGGTTGGCCTGTCTTGGGAACAACTGGGGAAACAGCTGCATCCTTTGTAGGCTTTGATGAAGCTTTTTCTACTTTGGCTTGAGGAGATGGAGAAGTCATGGGCTTTAGTTTCCCTTCCTCTTGTTTCTCAGCGAGCTGATATTTGGTTGCCTTTGCATCAGGAATCTTGGCTGACACTGGTGGGGTTGTTTTGGAATCATCTTGCATCTTGGTTATCAAAGTGGAGGCAGAACTAAAGATGGAGGAACCAAAGCCAAACACTTTTCCACCTAATGATTCCGCTGGCCTTGCGCTGTCAGGTTCAGGTTTCTGACCGCCAAATCCAAAGATCCCTTCGGATACCTCCTGTGTAGTTGAGGCAGTGTTAGTCTGTTTATGTCCGGTTTGACTTGGCAGGTCCTGTGGTTTCTGAGGAGCTGTCGCACAGTCCTGCATTGGAATTCTCTGACCAGCAGCTGGGCTGACCTGTTTCTGACTTTCTGGTCCCTTTATGACTTCAGACTTTGCTGGCGGCCCTGCTGGTGGTGGTTTCCTCTGAGGGGAGCCTGGTGCAGAGGTCTTCTTTGACTCTGTAGTTGTTTGAATGTCTTTGTTCGTGGCATTGAGATGTTCAGGGAGTTTATTTGGTGAGGCCAGTCGCTTTATCATGGGAGTTCCTGGAGGCTCAGATGCTCCCAGTGCTCTCTGCATCTGGCAGTTGAGACATAACCACTCCTTGGCCTATTTGGACAATAGTCAAACAATGAAATTTAGATCTGTTTTTTGTACAGTTCAAAGTATTTTACTTCTACTTTAATTCCAACAACATATGAATCACAGTAAAAATAAACACAACAACTTTTCTGTAATCTGCAATGCTCTTATCTTACCTCTTTAACATTTGTCATGGGATTAAAACCACATTGGTTACAGGCAATGCTTTTGCACTCTGTACAGGTGTTGTAGTTGGGAGGATCTGTAGAGCCCACATTGAGTCCGGCTTTACATAGAGGACAGGTAGATTGGACTCCCTTTGAATCAACTGGGGAAGACGATGCTTTCTTTGGCTGCTCTGATTGAAGTTTGTCCACTTTAGGCTGTACTGATGGAGAATGCTTGGCTTGCTGGGGTTGTTCTGGTTTCCCCTCCTTGGCAGTGTGGTATTTAGAGTCCTTTGCAGCATTCATTTTTGGAGAAAGTGGTGGTGGAGTTTTTGACTCATCCTGAACAGCTGAGGTTATCAGAGTAGACGCGGAACTGAAGATGGAGGAACCAAAACCAAACATTTTCCCGGTCACGGCAGGCTTTGCAGCATCGACCTGAGTTTTAGGGCCACCAAAGCCAAAAAACGTTCCAGACTCTTGCTGTGTGACTGCTGTGATAGTCCTCTGTTTCTGTGAAGTTTGGCCTGTCTGGTCTGGTTGTGTCTGAGGAGCTGTTATCCGGCTCTCCTGAGGTGTTTTCTGACCGGGAGATTGGGTAGCCTGTTTATAACTGTCTGGTACTTTCGCAGTGTCAGTCTTGACTGATTGAGCAGTAGGTGTAGATATTTCCCTCCAAGGAGAGCCCGGTGCAGATGTCTTTTTTAGTGCAGGCTGTGCTTGAGTAGTTTTTTTAAATGAGGAATTGACCAATAATGCATCTTTCTGAGGTTCAATTCCGCTGGCAGCTCGTTTCACCTGGCAGTTTAGACAGAGCCACTCTTTTTCCTTAAAAACACACAACAAACAAACAAATTATACATGGGCAGATTTGAAACCTAAAAGGATATGGAGAATCTAGAAGCTGAGGATTCTATTAAGGGCAGAGCTCTTACACACAAAAAGAACCCTGTAATACAGTTATAATACTTGTTACATAGTAACAAGTGCACTTTATGCTTAATATTTTTCTAACTTTTTTAATATTTAAAATGTTTAACTTTAACTTTATTCCCTTGTTTTATACTAACCCATAGCCTTATTCTACAAACCCATTGCATTAGAATTTCATTTTACTTTATTTTATTACTTGTGCACTGCTGTCTTGTCTATTGTCACACTGTCTACTGTCGCGCACCAACCGCCAAATTCCTTGTATGTTTGACATATTTTGGTAATAAATGTTTCCTGATCCTGATCCTGATCCTGATCTATTATTTACCGCAGTACTTGATATTTGAGGATCATAAGATCAAGTAGCCGTCAACAGTCCTTGGCCAGGTAGCTTAGTAAATGGGTTGAATTAAAAAGTAAAAAGTTCTTGGAGCATCAGTAGGTCATATCCATTTACCTTGTGTCTGGTATTCCGCGCAAGACAATTCCAATGAGATTAATGGTTTGATAAACTGGTTTCAAAAAACCTTGAATCAATTATTTTAAAATGATATATGTGACTATTTAGTAAAACTGTTATCTGTAACATTATCTTTTCGCTTCATAAAGTGTTAAGTCTAACTGAACCTCGAGGTATGTGAAGTTGCATTTGTGTGTGTGTGTCTATTCCTGACACATAGCCGTCTTGCTGTTTCGAGACCAGAGGCACTGAGAATACTGAATTAAAATGCCTCCACGGCTTTAACTTTCATCTGTGGATTTGACTTTGACCAGAAAAAAAAAGACAGATACCACTCGTATACGTACGTTTTTTAAGGGGAAAAACAGGTATCTTAAAAATGTCATATTCTGAATCCGAAGGAATATTATTGCCATGCTATTCATGTATGTAAGTTTGGAAGTTTGTGTGTAATATTCCAAATAATGTAATTAAAATGTCTTAAGCAACCACACTGACAAGTAAAATAGAACTCAACAACAGGAAACAATGATGATTTGTGTAAGAATTATTCTTTTTTTGAGAACTTTCCTTCCTCGCCCTCTTCAATCATTCATTAATTCAGCTGTTAATTAACATTGCATGTGTCCTACCTCCTTGACATTTGGCATCGGGTTGAATCCACATTGGTTGCAGACAGTGCTTTTGCATTCTGTGCAGGTGTTGTAGTTGGGCGGATCCTTCGAGCCCATATTGAGCACCATCTTACAGAGGGGACAAGTGGATGGACCTTCTTTAGGAGAGCTGTGGGCGGCTGCTTCTGCCTTCAGAGTCTGGAATGCAGCTTTGTCCCCTTTTATCAGTCTTGCTGGATTAGCCGTTGCCTGCTGTGGTGCCTCTTTTGCTGACTTTTGTACAGTAGCTGGTTTGTTGTCTTTTGCAGACTGTATTTTTGGAGAAACAGGCGGTGTTGATTTAGGCTCATCCTGAACAGCTGAAGCTATCAGTGTAGATGCAGAACTGAAAATAGATGAACCAAAACCAAACATCTTTCCAGTTACTGACTCATCAGTCTTTGCAGCTTCAGTTTTAACACCACCCAGGCCAAATAATCCTCCTGACTCTTGTTGGCTACAGCTTTGCTTGCGTCCACTTTGACTAGTCTTATCTGGTATGTGAGATCCTGATGTATGCTGGGTCTCAGGTGTCTTTTTATGAACAGAAGCTTGGCTGGCCTGTTTTTGACTCTCATGACCTCTACTAGCGTCAGCCTTGGCTGGAACGTTAGCCGATATAGACTGCATTTTCTTGGGTGAACCTGGTGCTAACATCTCTTTTTTGACGGGTGCAGCAGGAGATGGCGTCTGGTTTTGAGCAGAAGGGACTTTGTTAGGTGTGAGCTTCTTCGTGGAGGATACCTGTTGTTCAGAAGCCCCCTGAGCTCTCTGTATCTGGCAGGGAAGACAAAGCCACTCACGTCCCTGTTAACAAAAACGACAATTATGACATTAATGCATTTAAAGCAGTATTTTGAAATTCATTCAAACACACTTTCAACAATTAGCACTGCACTGAGTGCAGTGGATAGCAACACAATTAAAATGTGCCTTCAAAGTGAACCATATTGATAGCACAAGTTACTTTAATATACATTTTAAAGGCATAACATTTAGTTTGAAAAAAGCATTTCATAATGATAAGCAAATATTTAAGTCTTTACTTACATCAGAGTCTGGAGGGCTGAAGCCACACAGGTTGCACACTTCAGTTTTACAGTGTGAACAGGTTTTATGGTTAGGCAAGTTCTTGCTGTGTACGTTGAGTTCTGTTGTTTTACACACTGGGCAAAGGGACTTAACTACTGCTCTTGACTGAGATCCAGCTTTGGTTGGTCCTGGTGCTGAAGATCCTGCTCGGTCCATGCCAGGTGCAGTGGGTCCCCTTGGGTCTTGTTTTTGTGACTCAGGCCGTTTTGAGGACTGCTGTTGGGGTGTATCTCTAAAGCTTTGTTGTCCAATTGTGGTTGACCCCTGCTGTTGCTGTCTTACTTCATGTAGAGCCTGCTGTGAGCCCCTATTTTGTGAGCCAACTTTTGTCGACACTTGCACCCCAGTCTTAGCAGGCCCCTGTTGTTGCACCCCAGTCTTAGCAGGCCCCTGTTGTTGCACCCCAGTCTTAGCAGGCCCCTGTTGTTGCACCCCAGTCTTAGCAGGCCCCTGTTGTTGCACGCCAGTCTTAGCAGGCCCCTGTTGTTGCACCCCAGTCTTAGCAGGCCCCTGTTTTTGCACCCCAGTCTTAGCAGACCCATGTTGTTGCACGCCATTCTTAGCAGGCCCCGGTTGTTGCATCTCAGCCTTAGGTGGAACCTTTTGTGGTGCTTTTGGAGAACCTGATTGAGCGCCACTCCTCCCAAGCTGTTGTTGAGCTCCAGGTTTAGGCAAACCTTGCTGTGGTGGGCCCTTAGTTTGACTTTGTTGAGGCTCTTCTTTCAGCGGGCCTTCAGGCTGTGTTCCTGCCTTTGGAGCGACGTGTTGCCCACCAGGCTTGATTGGAGGTCCAGCCTGTCCATTCCCATGTAGCTGAGGGGACCCTTCTTTAGGGAGTGGCTGTCCCTTTTCCGTAGGGCCTCGTTTTTGTATTCCCTGCTGCTGTTGAGGGCCTAGGCTTGGCCCTGCTCCGGGCTGCTGTCCAGACTTAGCCCCCTGCTGTGAAGGTGCTTTCTTATTCTTATCCCCATCATCTCCAAATAAACCAAACTTATTCACAGCAGAGGACACAGCATTGAGTGGGTTGGCCCCACTAAGGAATTTGGAGGAGAACATAGTTGGGTCCTCCTCCTCCTCCTCCTCCTCCTCCTCCTCCTCCTCCTCCTCCTCCTCCTCCTCCTCGCAGGAACTGGAATCTACAGGGCTGTCGGAGTCAGAGCAGGAGCTGTCTCCTCTCTCTCCTGCCCGTCCCTGGGAGGCCTGAGGGGGGGCTGGTGACGGAGCTGTGGAGAGGGCATCTACAGCCCCACTGCTGCTGCTGCTGCTCCCTGGGCTCTCCTCTGGCTCAGCGTCTACATCAGACTTCCTAAATGCAAGATAAACAGACGGAGAGGAAGTGTGAGACGACAGGGAACAAGACGAGAGGGAGGTGTGATGAAGGAGAGCAGGAGGAACTGTAAACCACACTGTTTGAGACAATACAATTGTCTGTTAAACAAAATAAAAAATGAGTAGAAGGTATAGCGGATGCAGAGGAAACGTAATATTACCAATGAACTGATTTACTGTCTGTGAGTTGTTGATGCTGTTTATCCGTGTTAAGACATAATTATGATAGATAACAACTCCACATCCATATTATCATATCGGCTAACACACCTTAATCTGCATCTTTAAACAGCATACTTCAAAACACATTCCATTTAGGTGAATGCGATCATCATTTCTATGGACAAAGCTCAGAGATCCCATTCAGGAAACACTGCAATACTGGTCATTGTGTAACCTAGGAGCGTGATGAAGCTCTCCAGATGGACGAACTATAAAAACACAACTGGAATGACAACACAAGGTGAACTCTCGGGTTACATTGTTTTTCCTTCCAACCTCAAATATCGTCAAGTGATTGGTCTCTGGCTGCTAACAGTGTCCTGTGATGTCACCCATCGCCCAAATAGCACCAAGCGTTGGTGCTGATGACAAATATCAAGCGGGACGTGTTGTACGGCAGCGAGACGAGAAAACAGGAAATCTAGCGCTCTCTCTGGAGAAACTGCAGGCACATCCGGGTAGGGGGGGTATTAAATAAGCCAATACTGATGTTACAAAAGCAACAATGGAGCAAATCGTGGCGTGTCTGTGATTTATTATGATTTTTTACGATATGAAGCAGCGGGGTTAAACGCATGTGCGCAGTGCTGCTGGCGACGGTGAACCCGGAGGCGGTGAAGTGGATCCGATGGATTTACAGTGTTTTACCGTAGTGGATCAAACGGAAACGTGCATTAAGCCCGAAACCTTCTAATACCCGGTAACACGTTAGTCCGCATAGGGTGGAGATACAAGATAAATCAACCCCCCCACAAAAAAACCCACAACACGTTATTACCTACTTGTGTGCCCTTGAGCGCGTGCGTGTCCCGATATCGGACCAAGTCTAAATATCCCTACATTCCTGAACACGAAGCGAGGAAACACAGCGGAAGCCATATGTCATCGGTGGCATGTCACGAAGTACCATTTGATCCCCCCGCTACTCATCCCCTCCCATCATGCAGCCGAGCATCCTTCACCCCGACGCGGCCACAATGTCAAAACCGCGGCGCGATGTTTCCAGTGGTAAGCGCAGGGGAGTTGTACCTTCATCAACAGCATATGGGCTGTTCCCCTATCCTCGCCCATCGCTCCTCGAATCTCCCCCTGTCCGTGTCTGCCTCTCTCTCTGTGTATGTGTGTGTGTGTGTGTGTGTGTGTGTGTGTGTGTGTGTGTGTGTGTGTGTGTGTGTGTGTGTGTGTGTGCGCTCGCCGCGGGATGGAGGTCACCGGGCATCAGCATCCACACTCCGCCTCCCGCTCCACTGCGCAGGCGCCGCATCTGACAGGCGATCACAATATATATCACGCACGGAAATTAGAAATTAAAGGGGCCAGGTGCGATTATTTTTCCCCTCCGGAGTCACGTGCGATCCTCAAGACTCAAAGCGTGATGTGCTATACGTCTTCCCAGGGACCGTCGACCTGAATTTACTTTCGTAGTGAAGTAGAGAGGGATGATGCGATTTTATCCAAGTGTGCTGAAGCATGACACTCATAATCTAATATGTGTTGTGTGTAGGCCTACTGTAAATAAATCTCAACAAAGGCTAGCAGGAAAGGAAATGTTTATTTTCTGTCTTTATTTGCTTATTCCAAATACACACTGATCCATTTATTTATGTATCATAGTGTGTGTGTGTGTGCAGGGGGCCATAAATGCCCCAAATGTGTTTGCCTGGTGAAAATGTTAACTGTGATACTGTTGAGTTGAGTTGCAGACCGAGCCCCTCTCTGGCTGGGAGGTAGGCTTAGGTGCGTCTCTCAGGCTGGAGGCGGAGATTTTAATGCACCAGGTGGAGAGGATCTGGCGATCAGGGGGGTTGGAGTCACTCACTCACAGGACAGTGAAGAGCGAGCAGTGTGAGAAAGCGAGATTGAAGAGCTTGGGAAGAGGAGACTGCAGGAATAAAGCTTGCAAAGACTGAAGAAGGAGCTGGTGAGCTTTTAAGTGGCTGACTACTTATGGCATGAAATGCAAAATCAAATGTCCATATATTTAATGTGTTTTAAAAAGTATTCAAGCTAAAAGTAATTGGATAAAACTTGATTTGTGTGTATTCAGCGGAGTTAAAATCTGGTGAAGTTTAAAGGTTAAAATCATCATTAAATAGTGTTTTTAAAATGTATTTAATTTAGTATTGGGATACTTTAAATTTGGGTTGTCTTTCTACTTATTTTGAGGTTAATTTCCAGTAGATTATAAATTAAGTATGTGATGTTGGGTATGTGAATTGATTATGGTTTCTTGGGTTATATTTCTTTGACCTTACATTCATGTTTGTATTTCAAGGTTTTTCACCTGGTTTGACTTGGACAATTTTAAAAATAAAAGCAAGAAAGCAAAGAAGTCCGAATCTTGGTCATTGAGTGGAATCCAGTCTACACTTCTTAGCAAGCTGCCCTTTCAAGTGGGAAGCTGCAGTTTGACCCTCACAAAAGTGAGACACTTGACAGTGAAAAACCGCCACTGGTGCGAAGACTGGAGCGAAGTATCCTGAACTGCAACTGGCCAGGCCTGGAAGTCCAGAGGCCTAGTAACCACTGAAGATCACCCCGCCCACACCGAATCCTGGTGAAAAGGAAGATGGCTGACTCAAAGTCACTGGAGCAGCTTAAAGCTAGTAGGACATCTGCAAAGCGACAATTCTCCCGGCTGTCCAACAACATTGTCCGGATGCACGCCATAATGGCTGAAGAGGAGCTCAGAGACCATTTCAAAAGGCTCATAACTGAGGCCAACAAAGTCATGGAAGCAAATGACGATGTGGAGGCCCAGTACCTTGCAGAAGTGGAGCTGGACGCAGATCCTGATGAAGTTCCCGGGTTGAGCAAGCAGCAAAAGGCCGATATTGGGAAAACTGCAAGCGAGTGTGAGATGAAATTGGAAGAGCTGAAGGACCTCATTCGAAAGACACTCTGGGCTAATTTCGGGGAGGAGGAACTGATGATGGCGCTACAGGCTGCAGAGGAGAAAGTAAAGAGTGTGATTTTCTTTGAACCTGGTGGAAATAAAGAGGCCTTTGACTTCATGTTCGACTACATGGAAGGACTGGTTAAGAGGGCGAAGGAGCTGCACACACAGTGGAAGGGTTGGGCCCCTCCTGCCGAGCAGAAAGACTTCCAGCTGCGTGTACGAGAGCTCGAGCAGATCGTTCCCAAGTTAATGTCCAAAAAGGCAGAGTTCATTGAAGCAAAAGCTAAAGAAGACGCCGAAAGAGTTGTGAGTGCAGCTTCTATCAGCTACCCGACATCAATATCAGCCATCAGACTGAAGCCAACCTCCCTCCCCAAGTTCACTGGCATCAGGCGAGACTTTCATCGCTGGAGAGGAGACTGGGAGGCCCTTCAGAGGCAAGGAGAACCTACTGGGTCAAAAGAAGTAAAAAAGTTCCAGCTTCTTGACAGTTTGGATGACAAGATAATGACAGATCTTCGATTGATGTCCTATAACACAGCAGATGACATTCTTCGGGTCCTGGAGAACCGGTTTGGAAACCAAACGGCGATTGCCATCGAAATAGTTGAGGAGCTCCAGAGACTTCCAGCTGTCAAAAGTCACCAGCCCAAGAAAATTGTTGAGCTCATCCAAGCTGTTGAAAAAGCCCTTCAAGACCTGAGTGACCTTGGTGACACCGGTGCTTTAAAGAATCCTCTAGTGACAAAGGCAATCGAAAGCAAGCTTCCTGATGCACTGAAGAAAGAGTGGCTTCTCTATGCAGCTGAGAGGAGCAGTGCTCCTCCAGAGAAACGCTTTGACAGTCTTCTGACCTTCCTCAAGAGTCAAGAGAACATCTATGAACAGCTGGACCAATTGAGGGACGAAGAGCTGCCAAGGAAAGAAATCCGACCTGAGCAAAGGCAAGCCAGAACCAGGGCTGCAAACCAGTCAGGTAGCCATCTCTCAGGATGTATCGTCTGTGGGGACATTAAGCATAAGAAGAAGCTGTACTTCTGCAAAAAGTTCCGTGTGCTCAAGCTCACAGAGAAGAAGGACGCAGTGCGAAAACTGGGAGCCTGCTGGAAATGTCTGGAGGTCCATGATAATGATAATCTCTGCAAAACCTCATTTCTGTGCAGAAACCCTGAGTGCGAGGACGGGAGAGACCACCACTACTATCTGTGTCGCAATGCCGAAGCATCCAGGAGCAGCACAGCCCAGAGAAGGAGCAAAGGCAGCGCAGTGGGAGGTGGCAACAAGAGGGATTACACCGAAGCCCAGGAGGAGTTATTCAGGAAGCTCTCCCCTGAATTGGCCCAACAGTGCCGGGACGCATTCTGCAATACAGCAACAAGCACCTCCCACGTCGCAAAGAGTCACTCAAGTCTTCTGGCAGAGGGTGGCCTAGCGGAGTGGCCCGTCATTATGATGCTTTTGGAGGTGACAGCCAATGCTGGGCAGAGAATTGGGACCCTGATCGACCTAGCTTCTGACACCAATTATATCACCCATGAGGCAGCAGGTCGGCTCAATCTCAGAAGTGAAGATATCACACTTGTGGTTCATGGGGTGGGAGGCATGAAAGTCTTTGTTAAAACAAAGCGGTATCTCCTGAAAATCCG